AAGTAGCAGGACCCGACAACATACCAGCTGAAGCACTGAAATCAGACGTCGAAGTAACCACAAGCATGCTTTACCCTCTATTTAAAAAGATTTGGGAGGAGGAACAAGTGCCAATGGACTGGAAAGAAGGACACCTCATCAAGATTCCAAAGAAAGGAGATCTGAGCAAATGTGAAAACTACAGAGGCATTACACTACTGTCAATACCAGGGAAAGCCTTCAACAGATTGTTGCTGAACCGGATGAAGGATGCAGTAGACGCCCAACTTCGAGATCAACAAGCTGGATTCCGAAAGGATCGCTCGTGCACAGACCAAATTGCAACACTATGGATCATCGTCGAACAATCAATTGAGTGGAACTCGTCACTATACATCAACTTCATTGATTATGAAAAGGCATTTGACAGTGTAGATAGGAGGACATTATGGAAACTTCTTCGATACTGCGGAGTTCCTGAGAAGATTGTCAACATCATCCGGAACTCATATGACGGACTACAGTGCAAGGTCGTGCATGGAGGACAGCTGACAGATGCATTCCAAGTATGGACCGGAGTCAGACAAGGCTGTCTACCCTCTCCCTTCCTCTTTCTTCTGGTGGTCGACTGGATTATGAAGACCTCGACATCTGAAGGAAAACACGGAATACAATGGACAGCTCAGAACCAATTAGACGATCTGGACTTCGCAGATGACCTAGCCCTCCTATCACGTACACACGAACAGATGCAGATGAAAACAGCCAGTGTAGCAGCAGTCTCTGCATCAGTAGGCCTCAGTATACACAAAGGGAAAACCAAGGTCCTCACATTCAAAGCGGAGAACAGCAATCCAATCACCCTTGATGGCGAAACTCTGGAAGATGTAGAATCCTTCACATATCTGGGAAGCATCGTCGATAGACAAGGAGGTTCAGATGCAGACGTAAAGGCGAGGATTGGCACAGAAAGGGCCGCATTCCTACAATTGAAGAACATATGGAACTCAAAACAACTTTCAACCAATATCAAAGTGAGAATCTTCAATACGAACGTCAAGGCAATTCTACTGTATGGAGCTGAAACTTGGAGAACTACAACAACCACAATCAAGAAAGTACAAGTATTTATAAATAGCTGTCTACGCAAGATACTCAACATCCATTGGCCGGATACCATCAGCAATAGCCTTCTGTGGGAGAGAACAAACCAACTTCCAGCTGAAGAGGAAATTATGAAAAGACGATGGAAATGGATAGGACATACATTACGCAAATCGTCAAACTGCATCACGAGGCAAGCTCTAACTTGGAATCCTGAAGGGAAGCGGAAAAGAGGAAGGCCAAAGAACACATTACGTCGGATAATAGAAGCAGATATGAAAAGGATGAATTACAACTGGAAGGAGCTGGAAAGGATTGCCCAGGACAGGGTTGGATGGAGAATGCTGGTGAGCGACCTATGCTCCTTCACGAGGAGTAACAGGTGTAAGCAAGTAAGTAAGTAATAGAATAGTTGACTAAGCAATTGTCCTGCAATCAGGAATTTGCCAGGTAATCATTACATAAAAGAACATAACTACTGATCTGATTTACGTAACACTTAACCTCGGCATCTAATTGATATTGAGACTTTCTTGTAAAATCACGGCCACATAGATTGAGTTCAATGAATAATAATCCACTTCTTGAATGGTATAAATTTTATGATAAAACTAACGTACATGGACTAATAACTACTGAAATCTATTCTTTTTAACCAAGCAGATGATAAAAATGAATAGTGTTTGACGGAATATTAACAGATTACAAGTGAAACTCATATACATATCCATTTTCTACATGATTCATAAACTTATCAAAGTTCATTTAGTTTTTTGTCTAGAAGTTGAAGTAGATGCAGTTAAGAAACTTATTCATTCAATTTTGTAGTAGTTTACCTTATGAACATGTATAAGGGGCGAAGATTGCCATCGCTAACCCTCCACTGAATGACGAACATCTGTTAAAACAACTATTGCTCTAAAACTAATGGATAACAACTTATTTGTTGCACATGCTGTACTAAAGCCACTCCAATGCTTTATCATCACTTTCGTCAGTAGCGCATTTATATCATTCAAATTTGAACGAATATAAAACAAATCAGTTCTTATCATATCATTACAATCTTTCAATATGTTTACTGAGTTTATTGGCAAAAAACAAATCTACGCAGCAACCCATTTATCACGTAAATCCGTTATTAATACATCGTTCTCAAAATAAACAAGCATTCGATAACCAAGATTTTTTAATTTACTAAGAACGTACGACCTTGAAAGTGTGCTTATAATTAACTGGTGTTTTGCTATACTTAAATTTCACCAGTTTAGCTTTCTAGTGGCGACAGCATGGCAGTAAATTTTCTTTATCAGATAATGGAAATGTGACTTTTTTCCAGAAATATACACATATTTAAAACACAATTGTATGAACGAAGAATATTCTTTTCAATAATTTCTCACCAGGTTCTACAATTATAAATCCAGATTAATAATCCATGAAATTGGCCAGATTTAAGGCAAAATACGTCGTTTGGAAATTGTAATATGTGAATCAGGAATTGTTTGTTATATAAATAAAATCGTTAATGTTGGGGCTGACTAATATAAAGCGTTAACTTGAATCAGTTTATAAGTGAAATGAAATTGTGAGATAAATTATCAGAATAAATATGGTCAACATGGGGTAGGAGAGAGAGAATATTGTGATTACAAATCGGAAATTGCATATGTAAATATAGTAGATTCAGGGGTGGATATTGAATAAATTCCTCAAAAAAGGTTATCAAGTGTAAAGACAATGATAGTAATAATAACAGTAGTAATAATAATAAGTTTGGGACATAAAATGAGCATTAGTCAGATTACGTCACCACATTATAAGATTGATTATTAGCTAGTTGGCCAGGGTAAAAGTAGTGGCTGAACATACTTCTTTTGGATACAAAGCTCTGGCTTTTTGATCCCAATAGCAATTGCTTCAGCCGTCTGTAGGATTCGCAGTCTGACGGAATCAGGTAGACTGCTGTTGACACGATAGACTATTGCAAAAGATTGCTCCATGTTGGCGGTATGTCCTGTTTGGACTAAATGGTCTAAGATGGAGCTGTTAACAGTTTTGACAACACCTGATAGATACAGAAGGAGGTGGCTAGTCTAGGTAATTTATCTTTCAACCTCGGAGTGACTATTGGTCGTGTGGAGAATACTAGTTGTAGTTTAGCTGCATTAAAAGTCCTTTGAATTGATCCACGTAACTTAAGTCTTAACATTTCACTCGGCGCGTCGCCTCTGAATTGTAAGCGTATATATAAATGGAGGCTTTTTATTTACCGTTGGGCATTCTCTACAGTCTTTTATTGGCCAAGTTTTTAATTAATTTATTTATAAAAAACAATTCCTGATTCACATATTACAATTTCCAAACGACGTATTTTGCCTTAAATCTGGCCAATTTCATGGATTAATAATTGTAGAACCTGATGAGAAATTATTGAAAAGAACATTCTTCGTTCATACAATTGTGTTTTAATACACATATTTCTCGATAGACTGGATCTGACGCTATATTTGAGAAAAAGGGAACGATATTCTGGGGCAAAACAAGTTATGTGGATACGAATTTTACAGGTAAGAAAGTGCTTCTCTCCACAAGATGGTTGCCTGAGTATTTATCCTCAAACCCTAATGTTTACTACTTATTCAGTTGCTACGACTTCTTCCCATTCATCATACACTGTGTGCATTATTCCCAACGTGATTATCTACCGTTTGTTCAAAGTATAATCAAAAAGGAAAATCTGCCAAAGAATGTGCTGTTATTTCACGTATATTTGCTGACAGTATCTAGATAAGAAAATAAATCAATTACCTAACGCTTCATACAAACTTCCTTATGAAGACTGATTAAAGTGACAAGTACATCTCAACAAGTTAGTAGTGGTCATTCGTAATATAACGAATTGATATAGCCAATATATATATATATATAGCCTGTAAACTGTTTACAAAAGACTATTACTAATAGTATAAAACATTAAACAATAATCACTTGGGAAAATGGACCAGCAAGCGTATACAGAAAGAACCGCAGTAGTAACAAGATAGAGACGAATCACTTCGACAGCTGGTTGTTTGTCAAAAAGTACAATTTCATGATTGGTTTCAAAAAAGAATCGAATGTCCTAGGCGTTTAATTAAATTGTCATTGTGCGGATGATTTTTATGGATCAGGGCGAACACTACCCCCTCCCCCGGAACGTCCACCAGGTTCGCTGACCGTAATCATTTTTAAACCACCTAATTATTCATACAAACGTAAATCGTGCATGCTCCAGGTAGTCTTTTCTGTTGCAATCGCTAACTGAACAGTCTTGTTGCATCGACTGATCCACAGTTCACCTGTCTGATCATCGAGTGCTAAGACCTCTAAAAGGACCATGTGATGCGTTTCGTTAGAAATCAGTTGTCCTCCTGACATGACTAAAGTGGACTCTTTTAATTGTTAATATTATACCTATTCTCAACGTTTATTATTATAAACAAGAAAATCACCATACTGTATCAAAGGTAAATGTTATACCAACCTTTGATCAGTTTATTTATTAGATCATTCTCTTGACGATAGTAAAGTAGTACTCAATGTTGCATTTTTTTTTCGGTTACAGCCGCTCGCTATTCCCACATAATAGAAAATGGAATGTCACTTAACAGTAAAGATGGATCTTTTTCAATATTCAGCTTCCTATTTCTGCAACACCGCTCTACTTGTTACAGAAAATCTCTTGACTGTCAAGACCTTTGGATCTTGATCGACGAGCCTAACAGAATGTGACATTTCCAGCCACAGCTATATTGTTAACCTTTTAAAAGTACCGAAGTTTGTTAATGAATGGGAATTCTACTCTTTGGCTCTCAACTCCGAACACTAGTCTAAAATGAGATTTCCTGTGGACATGTAAGATAACAAACCAAAGTAGTTAGGCTAACCGTGTTATATGACATTAATTCCACCCGTTTTAGTATAAGATATCCCTAATTTATAAAATATAGATAAGAAACTTCTTGTAGTCAAGTACTTTAGAAATGTACCAAAACTACGGGGCAGAAAGTAATTAATATCAAACTGTAATCATACAAATTAAAACTATATATAAAATATCATACAGAAAGAGAAAAAACCAACATATTGTTATATACTGACTAATTGATTAGTATATACAATTTTCATTATCTTTACAAGTCAATAAATCAAAGATTATATTCATAATTCATCACATTTGTTTATTTAAACGATCTTGAGTTGCTTGTTGTTGTTTTCTTTGTGCAGCTAAAATAGCAGCAAGAGCTGCTTGTTGTTGTTGTTGCTGAAATTGACTTTGAACAATTTGCTGTTGTTGTTGTTGTTGTTGGGATGAGGCAATCACAGCTTGTAATAGTGCTGCATTATTCATTGAAGCTAATTGTTGTTGTTGTCTCTGATGTAAAATTGACGCTTGCAACGATAATAAACGCTGTTGCAATTGCTGCGGTAATAGATTTGACTGTACAGCAGTACCGGAAAACTATAAAATAATAAATTATCAAGAAGAAAAGTTATAGGAATAATAAAAATGAACTACTTTCTAGAATAATCGTTAGAAGTTAGTCATCAGTACTCGATAATTGTTTTTTTGTTGCTTCAATCAGTTTTCAACAGAAGCTACTTTTACATGGATTAATGTTGTTAAAAATATCAGATTGATAATTAATTCTGTTGGAATGAGCGAATTGTTCTATTGCAAGGTGCGATCATTTGACAAGATTATCTCACAATTAATGTGCATAAAGCAAATATATAATAATTCATAACATGATGATGGCGTTTTACATTGGGATTGTATGTGATTACTTTTTGACTTTCTAAGTTAGAATTATCAGTCAGTCAGCTACAACGTAGGACCAGGCACATATGTGCATCGGTCCAGGTTGCCATACCTCATTAACACAACAAGATGGACACCGGATTCATAGGAGTGGTTAGGTCAAAGGTTACTTACTTACTTACACCTGTTACTCCTCGTGAAGGAGCATAGGTCGCTCACCAGCATTCTCCATCCAACCCTGTCCTGGGCAATCCTTTCCAGCTCCTTCCAGTTGTAATTCATCCTTTTCATATCTGCTTCTATTATCCGACGTAATGTGTTCTTTGGCCTTCCTCTTTTCCGCTTCCCTTCAGGATTCCAAGTTAGAGCTTGCCTCGTGATGCAGTTTGACGATTTGCGTAATGTATGTCCTATCCATTTCCATCGTCTTTTCATAATTTCCTCTTCAGCTGGAAGTTGGTTTGTTCTCTCCCACAGAAGGCTATTGCTGATGGTATCCGGCCAATGGATGTTGAGTATCTTGCGTAGACAGCTATTTATAAATACTTGTACTTTCTTGATTGTGGTTGTTGTAGTTCTCCAAGTTTCAGCTCCATACAGTAGAATTGCCTTGACGTTCGTATTGAAGATTCTCACTTTGATATTGGTTGAAAGTTGTTTTGAGTTCCATATGTTCTTCAATTGTAGGAATGCGGCCCTTTCTGTGCCAATCCTCGCCTTTACGTCTGCATCTGAACCTCCTTGTCTATCGACGATGCTTCCCAGATATGTGAAGGATTCTACATCTTCCAGAGTTTCGCCATCAAGGGTGATTGGATTGCTGTTCTCCGCTTTGAATGTGAGGACCTTGGTTTTCCCTTTGTGTATACTGAGGCCTACTGATGCAGAGACTGCTGCTACACTGGCTGTTTTCATCTGCATCTGTTCGTGTGTACGTGATAGGAGGGCTAGGTCATCTGCGAAGTCCAGATCGTCTAATTGGTTCTGAGCTGTCCATTGTATTCCGTGTTTTCCTTCAGATGTCGAGGTCTTCATAATCCAGTCGACCACCAGAAGAAAGAGGAAGGGAGAGGGTAGACAGCCTTGTCTGACTCCGGTCCATACTTGGAATGCATCTGTCAGCTGTCCTCCATGCACGACCTTGCACTGTAGTCCGTCATATGAGTTCCGGATGATGTTGACAATCTTCTCAGGAACTCCGCAGTATCGAAGAAGTTTCCATAATGTCCTCCTATCTACACTGTCAAATGCCTTTTCATAATCAATGAAGTTGATGTATAGTGACGAGTTCCACTCAATTGATTGTTCGACGATGATCCATAGTGTTGCAATTTGGTCTGTGCACGAGCGATCCTTTCGGAATCCAGCTTGTTGATCTCGAAGTTGGGCGTCTACTGCATCCTTCATCCGGTTCAGCAACAATCTGTTGAAGGCTTTCCCTGGTATTGACAGTAGTGTAATGCCTCTGTAGTTTTCACATTTGCTCAGATCTCCTTTCTTTGGAATCTTGATGAGGTGTCCTTCTTTCCAGTCCATTGGCACTTGTTCCTCCTCCCAAATCTTTTTAAATAGAGGGTAAAGCATGCTTGTGGTTACTTCGACGTCTGATTTCAGTGCTTCAGCTGGTATGTTGTCGGGTCCTGCTACTTTCCCGTTCTTGATTTGTCTGACGGCCATTCTAATTTCTTCCGTCGTTGGTGGGTTGACATCTATAGGAAGATCTGTGTGTGCTGCTTCGATGTTCGGTGGATTCATTGGAGCCGGCCTATTCAGGAGTTCCTCGAAGTATTCTACCCATCTGTTTCGCTGTTGTTGAATTTCAGTGATTGGCTTGCCTTCTTTGTCTTTGACCGGCCTCTCTGGTTTACTGTATTTCCCTGATAGTTTCTTCGTTGTATCGTAGAGCTGTTTCATATTTCCTTCTCTAGCAGCTTTTTCTGCCGTCGTTGCTAATTCTTCCACGTATTTCTTCCTGTCGGCTCTAATGCTCCTCTTCACTTGCTTGTTTGCTTCTATGTATTCAGCTTGTGCTTGGACTTTCTCTGCTCGTGTTCGGCTGTTGTTAATTGCTGTCTTCTTGTTCTTCCTTTCTTTGATCTTGTCCAGTGTTTCTATAGAGATCCATTCCTTATGATGGTGTTTCTTTAGGCCCAGAACCTCTTGACACGTTGAAGTCAATGTTTCTTTGATGCCTTTCCAGTTGTCCTTCATGGTAGTTTCTTCTTCCTTCAGTAGATCTTGAAAGGCTTGGAACCTGTTGTTGAGAGCTATCTTGAATTCATTGAGTTTGTCAGTATCTCGAAGGAAGGCTGTATTGAACCTTTGTAGGTCAAAGGTTGCAATAAGGATATAGTATAGGAAGAAAGAATAAGTTAGAATTATAAACCGAATGTAATAGCTTAGTTAGGTCATAAAGGCAATTTCAAAAAACTAACCATCTGTTCGAAGTCATGCAACAAAAATGGGTGATTGGTATGTAAAATAAACAAAATGAATACACAGAAATGTACAGCATAGAAGAAATGCACAAACATATTCAAATAACGAAAATTCATAATAACCCCTAAAGTTAATGAAAAAAGATCTAATTGAAATATAAGTAATGAAATTCTAAAATTAAGTACCTAGTGTATCACAATCGCGGAGTACTAAGTTTTATGTTGAGTTGAAGAACTAAGGGCATACAAGAATTTGAATAATAATAGATGCCTCATCAAGATACTAAATTTGGTGAACCTAAAGCGACGTGATAACTAAACAGTTAAAGGTCTATGTGGAAGTTAATGATCAAAATACACAACAACCATCCTCAAATTATCGAGTCTCAGTGTACCGAAACTGTTAACTATCGTATTCAACAATGCATCAAAAGAATAACGCCCCGGTGGAGTGAATGGTGCTAAATGTTCTACTGACTTATTGTCTACGTGACCCCTACTCTTAACAGATTATGGATTTATGGGTATTAACGCCAGGGTTAGACTTTATAGTGGTTTACATGAAGTCACGAAACGTCAAAAATATGATTTTTCTACCCATCGGGATATAAAAAAAACTATATTTATTGTATTAGAGATTGGAATACATGGTGGTTTAGGATCATTAGTATATTTTTTCAATTAAATTTATTTTGAGCAAGCTGACTAATTTTCATGTTTAGAAGGTATATGATTACAGCAAAATTGATCATACATTTCTGACTAGTTATAAAACCTGTGCTGAATACTTTACTTATTTAAGCGAGTATGTTTAGAATAATTGGAGAGAATCATTACTGGATACGTTGTTTGCGATTTCAGGAACTCAAATATTTGTATTCCCATATACAATTATACTGCAGCAATTATCAAGAGTCTGAATATTGATGTGATCCAAAAAGCATACCTACACTAACTAATGAATTTAAATCTTGACGAGATTTGGGACGTATAAATTAGTACTATAGTAATTTAATATCAGGAAGCAAACATAAAAATAGAATAAAATTACATTTTTTTGATCATACGCCCTTTGGAAAATTTAAAATACAACACAACAAAAGTACCTCTGAATTTGAAGAAGAGACAGGAAATTGTGTTGAACTCGCACCAAGAGTTTGGTGAGAATTTGAAAGAGCTGTAGCTTGTTGACACTGTTGTTGCTGCTGGTGCTGTTGTGCTGCAGCAATTATTGCAACCATAGAAGCTATTTGATTTTGGGTCGATGGATTTACTGCACCACTGGAAAGAATAGAAGTATTGAGACCAGATCTTAAGAGGCCTAACTGTAATGCAGCTGGTAATGAATTGGCAGCGTTAATGATAGAAGCTAAACTAGTAGGAGTAGCGACAGTCAAATTAGCAGGAGTAGCAGCGGATGGAGTGATGACAGGAAGTCGTCTTTCTTGAGCGCTCTTTAACTGATCACCAGCAGGACTTGCTGTTGCCAAAGCAAGAGCACGTTTTTGCCATTGAGCTATTAACTGCTTTTGTTGGTGTTGTGCAGCTAACAGAGAAGCTGTTACTAGATTTGGAGCAATATTGAATCCAGATATCTAAAATGTAATTTAATCATTAAAAATAAAATAATAAAACCTAGATACAAACAATGTATACTAATTATCGTTTATACAGCAGAGGAATACGAAAATAGGGTCAGGAAATACAGATTATACTCACTGAATGATAAATATGTAGAAATATCATATTCATATCAAGCCAAGATTTTTTCCTCAATATCACTGTAATAATGTATACTACATTGCAAATGATTATGTTCAGAAAATCGATTGAGGTATAAGTGATTGATGAAAAAAGTCGAGCGGGAAAACCACATAGTATAATGTGATTAGAATTCACTGCCTATTAGTGTCGAACTAGGTAAAGCTAAGACTACGGTTTCAAAAATACAGCTTTTATGAACTACCAAGCATATTTAAACTTACCTGAGATTGTTGAGCAATCAATTGGTTCAGTAACTGTTGGTGATTGACTGACTGAATTGTATTTGCTGAGGAATGAATATTATTATTGTTATTAGCTTGAACAGCTGATTGTAATGCGGCTGCCGCAATTAGTTGTTGTAATTGTGCTTGCTGAATGGATGCAGATAACTGATTGACTTCCGGTCTAACGTTACCAGAGAATGATGTGGATGTATTAGGCTGCTCTATTGTTAGACTGGATGTAATATGTGGATTATTGACAGATCCGAGATATATTTGTGAAGCTTCATTTCCATTAGCCTTATTACAAAGTTAGAAAAATATTACATGAGAAATATCAAAAATTACCAGAAGTTGGAAAACGGGAATAGTAGTAAAAAAGGGATTGAAGTTCATAATATTGAGCAAGAATTTTGAGAATTACGACTTGGGTGGATGTATAATACAATAAATCTGGGAGAATTTTTCTTTTATTTCCCATGAGTATGAATTGAGAAAGCATTAAATAACACACTAGATGAATAATGATTTGTACAGTTATGCTGAAATATAATTTATAAAAATCGAAATCCACATGAATGGTCATTAGTGTTTCAGCAATAACTTAGGGATCCGAATAAACATGCATCCGTTCAAGTTGTGATAAATCATATCAGAACAGCCACAAAAAATTAAAAAGACGGGAATTGAAGGATTCAAAATAATAAATACTAATAGGAGTAGTAAATCAAATAGTGGGTATACATATATTTCACAAGGAACGAATGAAATCGTGTAGTACAAAATATTACTATACTGAAGATTCAAAAAAACGGTAGCATGAATCTCAGCACCTCATTGCAACTGGCCTTTATGTAACAATACATTTTACAAATATCAATAAGGTTTCAAAAGTTTTTAAAAAAAATAATATTTCTCACAAATTAACATAATCACTGAAGTTCAAATTATCTGACCTAAAAGAGAAACATTAACAAAAGGATTGAATCCATCAAACCCAAACAGTATCAAATATTATAAGTGAATACTAAGTAAACCTTTGCATGGATCAAAAATTAATTCATTACTGAAAAACAAATGAACTTATACTATAGTTTGTCAATATGGTTTTATTTTGCTTGATTGTATCACACAACAATCACCATGTTTACACAACTAAAGGAACGTTTAGAGACTAACTTATTAAAATACTCAAGTGAGAACCAAAGTCTTATCATGTAAATAAGAAATAGTGTGAAAAGTCTATGCAAATACACAATAAACACACCTGATGTTGATAAGTAGCTCCACACAGAGCAGATAACTGTTGTTGTTGTTGCAACTGTTGTTGCTTTAAAAGTATTGCTTCAGCTGATAATTGTTGTGGAACTGCGGTTTCAGTGACATTAATATTACCAGGAGTAGTTATGCTACCACTTGGTATGGTTGAGATTAATGGAGTATTAGCAGCAGCATATAAGGGTAGTAACGAAGGAGATGAATAAATAACATTAGCAGGAGTAAATACAATGGAGGCTTGACTTTGTTGCTGTTGTTGTTGAAGAAGCGCTAACTGTCGTTGTACTTGTTGCTGTTGTAGAAAACTATATTCACAGGGAATTTGATTTAATCTTGACTCATCAGGCATCAGAATCCCACTCCGACGTAAAGCATGTTCTTTAGCTTGCTCTTGTAACGCTAAAATGGTAAAAAGTGACAAAATTCTCAATAAAGTTACAACAGAGAGCTCGTCATTGAATTTTATAGTGATTTTTTATTAGTCACTGGTTGATAATGTTATTATTTCTATTACTCTAGTGTTTGTCATGATATTTTTATTATGCTGTACTAACATTGTTTGGCAACTTCAGATAGGTTTTACGTTGATTAAGAGTGACTCCTAATCGGCTGATGCACGTGAAGATACTCATAAAGTTATGTAGACAAAAACGGACACATTGACCGAAATTCGTATTTGCTTTCGGAATGGACCATCATCAGATTTACCTTTTCTCTAAGTGATCACAAATCCCCATCATGCGCTGCAATGGACACTAAGCAAGCACCAGGAAATCAAATTGCCCGATATGATGGATTACATTATTCCGGAAAACGTGAAGCTGTAAGTAAATTATAGAAGTACTGACCACTATGTACGAAACCTTTTGTCGGATAATAATCTGATAAGTATTAATGTCTTAACTTTAGATCGAATTAATGGCTAAAATGTAATTATCCATGAGCAATTAATAAAATAATCCAACAGCCTAGATAACACATATTAAAAGATTTACTCATAAAAGTTATAAGTGCTTCAATAACCTCTTCAAGATTGGCAACAAAAAATGTCAAGTGTTTGGAATGAGAGAACAGGTGGCTATTGTTAACGGTCGCTATTAGCGGGACGTTCCGTGAACGATTGTGTTGGTGAGCGCTGATTGGCTATTTCTTATCCAATCAGTGCTAGTGGAGACTTGGAGACTAGAATCCTTTTGTATAAAAACAATAAACATACGTTTTTTATTGTGCTTCTTACATCTACCCTTGTTATTAATAATTTCGTTCCTGTCCAACAGTGTTTGGATCTGGGGACTTTTCGAGTGAATCGGTGTCCAAGACGACTAAGCAACAGAAATAGCTGTGTCGTAATAAGAGAAGTTATAACAGTCGAGTTAACAGCTTCTATTAAGTTAGAGTAGTAATTATTAGTATTACTATTATTACCATTATTGTTGTTATAAACTGATCAGCGTCAAACGGTCGCATGGTTTATATTAAGTTGCTATTTTGTTTAATATGTAATGTTCATCTGGAAAAAAGGTTAAAAACCAGCACAATATCCATTTCAAAGGTTACTTGGGACTATAAGTATAGGAAGATATATATACCAAATTTTAAATAATCCCGAACTTTTTAGTGGTGTTGCTTTTCATTTCTTTTAACAACACTTGGTTTCGAGCTTGAGTTTGATTAATGTAAGCCAGGTGATGAGCCATCAACTAACCTGTAACTATAATTTGAATTTCGGCATCAATGTGAGGATTTATGTATTCACTTGCTGAGATCACAACATACGAGGGTGAGGGGATGTAGCTCCGCAATTTTAGAATAAGTTGCAAAAGTAAGGGATGACAGTATCTATAAGAACAACTGTAATATCTCTACGTTGATTTTTGGCGGTCAACCAATAGAATACTCACAAACTGATTTCATATATCAGAAGCTCATTGTAGTTTGGCTTACCAAAGGAATATTCGAAAAATGGTATAAAGTCAACATTAAGAAATTTTATGAATGACTTGAACTATTGTAAATAGAATCTCTACATACGTCTATATAATTCAACTTGTTCAGGTGGAATTGTAAATTCTGGAGGGTTGAAATTGGCTACCTCCGGAGCATTACTACTTTTAGCAGATGACGTGACCAAAACGGTAACAGAGGATGAATTAGGAGTATTTTGTAATTGGATAGAATTCGAACTAATCTCCACATAGTTACCACTTGAAACTGAGGTTAGAGGATCACCGACCTCCAACTTTGTTGTAGTGTCACTAACTGATAAGCCGAAGCGTTTGGCTAGTTCTGGAGGAACCTTATACATAGAAAATACGAATAAAAAAAGGATATTTTTATGAAGCACTTGGATAGGTGAAGTGAAAACATAAAACAGAATAGTGTCTAGAAAACCTGTCAGTGTATATTGCGATAACTACAATCAGTGAGATTACGATAAGCTGTAAATTGTAACAAAAGTAAAAGATGAATCATGCGCAAGGAGAATGAAAAAACCAAACAACTTGTCTCAGAATAATACAATTATTGCCTTTTCGGTAGTTAATAAAAAAACGGGGCTATATAACCAAATTGGTAGATGAGTATGTCTCAATAAATGATCAAAACGAAGCAGTCTGAAAAATGGTTTAATGATAATATATGAAATCTATGTTATTTAATGATGAATCGACGTTGTATTTGAGAGTGCTAAGTATGTTTATCTAGTAATTAGAAATACTTTTAGCCAATTTACTAGTTTCACCTATAAAACTGACTGCTTCTTTTGTTTCTTAATAGCACTATAGTAAGACTGGGAATAATAAACCCATTGTAAAACACGACAATAGGTAGGAGGAATGTATATTTATTGCGAGAAATTACAAAGTATTTACATAATACATATATATAGCTTTCAATTGTACATTTGCACCTTCCGGTGTATTCTGCAATCTGAAATCTCTTTTCGATTCGTCTTACAGTGTTCTCCAAACACCGTTCATTCAATGCACTGAAACTTTTCACTCTGTCCGACAATTGTTGCGACTTCGACACCGCGTCCTGCTAAACACTAATTACAAACATCCTTGTGAGAAACGTCCAATAAATCATATTAGAAAATTCACAGAAAGGATATATTTGCTGCTTATATATTTAGATTGAAAAGACACCTGATAGGTTCCTTAAGGAATATTGTTTTTAAGCTGCAAAAGAAATTGAGTGTACTTTGCAAATACAGATAATAAGTGGGTGTATGATGAAAAGAAGTGAAGATAAAAGTATATAAGATGCATATCACTCTTTTAGAAGAGAGTTCAATGGATGTTACAAATTAGATTCTTGGAGTACACTTATTTGTATTGTAAGCACGTTAGCATCATACATAAAAGAAGTTTTAAATACCAAAACTCAAAAGAAATTGGTTGAGGTAAAAAAGTGTGAACTTAACAAACTGTTTAAATTGTCTACCTAATTTCAAGTCCTAGGTCTGTCATCTAAATGATCATAAATCGTTCTATAGTTACCTAGATATAATTCAAAAAATGCTACTTATTTACCAAGTACAGATTTATAAGCTTTCCTATGAGCCTCACTTTACGTGAGGGTTGGTGATACCAATCGATTATACAAACCGAAGCAGATGAAGTGACGTTCAAAACTACGACTTAAAACGGAATGCTTTTATCACTTAAACACCAATTCACTAAAGTTCGGAGAACTAACTTATGATAGAGTATTATTTTGGTAATTTATCCACATCAATTACTTGGCTAAGGATAATTAGTGAATATAATCAAAAATGAGAATATGTTGAATTCATGCTTTTCAACGAATTTATTATTAAGCTGTACAATCGTATATATATATGAAAATTTTGTTTTTGTAACTTAGAGATATGTTGCGATCTGTTCGACTTTTCGAGATTTGATAGCAACATATCTCTAAGTTACAAAAACAAAATTTTCATATATATACGATTGTACAGCTTGATAATAAATTCGTTGAAAAGAGATCCCTTCGCTGAAATTCGTGTTTTAATTTTTAATTCATGCTTATCAAAAATATGAAGATAAACATCTACAATCCAACTTTAATGTTGTCTAGCAAATGAATGACATTGTTGAGTTTACAATACAGAATATTTGTCTACAAACAAAAGCAAAATAAATACTATTGATAATGATCAGCGGAAAATATTGCTTGGGAAACATCATCAACATACACACTTACGAACTAATAAAATAATCAATATTCAATGCACTTTGATCAGTAATCAATACATACGACTAATATCAATATCGTTGGAATTATTTTACACAAATGAACGTTTAGATTCTCAGTTATTTCAGGTATAATTTTACAAACAGTATATTTTCATACAACTAACTAGAAGGAATAGGATTAAACTTAAATAAGTGAAATTAAAAATAAATTCAAGTTAAGGATATAGAAGTAAAGAGTGGAAAAATCTTATTTATACACTGAAGTTATTAATATATTGGTATGTGTTAAGAAAAGATACATGTTAAAAATTGTGTAAGAGTATGAGAAAAAAAATCTGCCAATTAAATATTTGAAAAATCAATAGCAATGTCAAAAAAAATAGTGAAACATGCACCTATTTATGCTTGTGTGAGAATTAATTTACATGAACTGGAAAATCAGTGGGTTGTTTGAATGTATATATATAGTTTGCCAAAAGACGTTTTAGAGAAAAGGCAAACAAATGTACAAGCATAAACATAATAGTAATAGTAATAAACTTTCATTTATAAGCAAGAGAAATTATTAAGGAGCAAGCATGCATAAACGGAAGAGTAGGTTAGGTAAATGAATATAACAAAATAAATATTTCAAAAAGTAAAAAAATATACTTGTTCTTATAAACTAATAACCAGTAAAACGTTGATTTATTTATTTTATTTATCTATGTGCATGATTAAAACGTAAGCAATAGATATTTGTAAATCCGTAAGAAAAAATTTGAAAAAAGACAAAACAAAAAATAGTTAAAAATATAAGTAGTTGTGTAACAAACACGAGTGTAGTATGTGATAAACATGATGGATGACAACTCTGAAACAAAATACAGACAATACATTCTGAAGGGTAATGGAAGAATAATCAATCAAAAAGTATTTATAAGTATAAAATAGGACCTTTTTACATTCCCACATCTTATAAATTACCTTTAAAGATTGTAATTCGTTTCTTAGAGAAGGAAGATGTAAATGAAAACGTGAATATGTTTAATTGAAATAGAAAACAATTGTTTTCTAATGTGACCAAAGATATGGTGAACAATTTTCAAACTAACCTATTTTCTCACTACTTTTGCATAATTTGTAAAGGAGTTCATCATAATTGGCAGAATACTGATAATGAAGTGATTCAATTTTCTCAAAAGTTTGGTGAACAGTAAAATTTATTACCTGCCTCGATGGAATGATTTTGTCACCAAAAACAATGGTCAAGGACAGAACGTAGCTTTGAGCAAACATAGTTCATGTAACTCGACACACAAGCTGTAAACTGTATTATTTGCATGGTAGCTACAATAATTGGTGGATGCGATCGTAGCAATTAAAAACGAAATCAAGGGCTTAAAGTGTGAGTATTGAATTTATCAATTATTAGGTTTATTTTGCTTGATTTGTACACTAAATTACGAAAAATGACCCAAAAGTTTAGCAGTCTGTAGTAATGGAGTATACAGCATAATGGTTCAAAATTTGTAGGACAATAGTAGTTGAAAGAAGGCTATGAGACTTATAATTTGCTTGTTTTAAAGTGACTCACACTCAAAAACTATAAACATTGTTTCCAAAGACCATTTATATTTGAGCATTCACTACATTTGATGAACTAATTTGCAATGAGGTCTGGAAATAGATTGGACAAAACTCAATGATATATCAGATAAGGTTATCTTAGGGTAGTAAAGTTTGAATTTTTTTTGCCATATTATTAAAGTGATTACTACAAAAATTTAGGATCGTTATGAAAACTATTAAGGATTCTGTTGAATATGAATACATGTCTTTTCCTCAGGTAAGTCAAGAGTATGAACTACGGAGGTTCATGGAACAATAACACACTGTGATATTATGTAGTGGCAAAATCTGTTAATAACACTTATATGAGAACTAAAATTTTTTTAGCACTAATAAAAAAATATTTTTCTTTTCCTTAAAAATCTATCTTTGTTTAAGTACGTGGAATAAAAGCAAACACAAACCTACCTGTGGTCCGATATAAGGGACAGATTTATTCGTATGACTTCTGCTGTCTGAATTATCAATGGTTTGATGGTGTGCATCTTGAGGTAGTGGTATATCAACGAGCACCGAAGGACTGGAAGTTTTATTACTTGACTGTACTACACCAGATGAAGACGGTGGTTGTGAATGTGAATCACTATTACGTTCAACAGATGATTTAGAATTGTGGATAGGTTTTAAATTGTTACTGTCATTGTTATTATTTGTTGTAGTAGATTCATGTGATGATTTTCGATACTCTAAAATGAAGTAAAATTACGAATGAAATTTCGTTAACCGATACTACTTTATAAGACAAACTCTTGGTAAATTAGTCATTTAATGCACTGAGTAAGAGAAATATTATATACTGATAATTGCACATTGTACTAAACATATCATATTGAATAAAACCGTTTACAATAGTAATAATATTAAATATCATAGTTTGAAAAAAATTGGATTAAAAAAATCCACATTAGTACTTACTGGATTTCTCTCCGCCCACAACTCTATTGACAGCTGCCGAAACTGTCTCATCGACGCTTGGTATGTAGGAAATGGACTTCGGGTCAGTATAAGGACTATTCATCCTACTATCTGATATATTATCTTTACTCACTGGTCCAACGCCAAGACGAGCGAGACGATGTTCTGGTGGAGTTCGTAAATTATCTTCTGAAACTTTTGTAATAGATGAAGTGGGTCGGTATAAAGGAGTACGAGAACGACGAGAAAGAGAACGATTTTTAGAGGTATTTCGACGTGAAAAATAACGAGAACGTGACGAGAGAGAAGACTGCGAAGAAAAACTGGAATCTGTTGAATGCCAACTCCTTGAGCGAGATCGTGAACGAAGAGAGTAGCTTCTACGCCTATGCCTTCTCCGATAAAAAGATCTAACATGTCTATGGCGTCGAGTTCTTACAGAGCTTGATCTTGAACTGTAACTTGAGCGAAATGAACGAGAAGTACGAGCAGACGACCTAGAACTGTAGGACTTTGACTCATTATAATTACGTTTGTGTCGATCGTATTTATGAGAAGATTCTGAACGAGAGGAATAACGCGACCTACTGGCAGAAGAATGATAAGAGGATGATCTACGAGAGCGTGAACGTTTACGATTTTTCTGTGTTACACCTTCAATAGTGCTCTTTGTGCGAGAGGTTCCTCGATTGTTGCAACATCGAGAGCCATCAGAACCTCCTGATGAAACAGACCTCCTTCGACAACTTGTGGAGTGGTGACGATCTGAATTCTTTCTACATCTTCTGTGATGTGAATCTCTATCAGATAATTTCGGACGCGATTCATTCGAATTGACTGGATCACATTTGCTAGAACCATCTTGGTGCCTACAATCCTTTTTTTTCGTAGTTAAATCACTTTTTTCTTCTTTTGACAGACTGGACTTGTTTAAGGCTGAACAATATGAACAGAAACATAAAATGCATATGAACCACTTTAATATCATTCATTAAAACGCAAACAAATATGAATGTGAAAATTGGTCAACATAACATTTTAAGTCAATAAACCTTGGAAGACTATGGATGATCACAAACAGACAATCTCTTGACTTTGGACATATACTAAATATCCTCATTCTGAGATTAATGACTCGTAATCTCAACACACCATCAAAACAATACATAGTAGCATGTTGGGGATATGTAATCTTAAATTACGTTGAGTGAACATCAAGAAGGTTCACATGCAAAACTTGTGCTTTTACTTTAGTAAGTGGGGAAGGAAAAAGAAGAGAACAGTGGTTTCATCCAGAATATTGAAATCGGACGCCTAACTAAGACTCGTGAACAACAAACACAAGAAAATCAGGCTGGTTTTAGACCTGGTCGTGGCTTCATCGACCACATATTCACCACTCGTCAGATCTTAGAACACAGGCATGCTTATCGTCGTCCGACAATGGTGATCCTTCTTGACTTAAAAGCAGAATTTGACCCTGTAGACCGAGAGGTTTTATGGCAGTATCTGTCATTGAAAGGCGTACCTCCGAAGTACACAGACCTTGTGAATGATCTTTACTCGAACACTACTAGTCGAGTGAGAGTTTATGACAAACCGTGACCTAAATTTGCAACCTCAAGTGGTGTCCGTCAGGCTGTCCACTTTCTCCATTTTCGTTCAACTTCATCATAGACCTACTTCTGGAAATAACTTTGTCGTCGTTTGGATTTTCAGGAATTGATTTCTTTTCAAGAGGTCCACCTATTGACTTAGAATACGCAGATGACATAGTCCTGTTTGGTGAAAACGCTGATAAAATGCAGTGTTTTGGTAGCACTGAGTAACAATACGAGAATGATTGGAATGCGTTTCTCCCTCTTTAAATGCAAACTGTTGCTTCAGGACCGGCCTTCGTCAACACCTGAACCAAGGATAGGGAGTGAAACAGTCGAACACATCGACAACTTCGCTTATCTTGCAAGTTTGGTCAACCCTAATGAGTTGATGTCTGAAGAAATCTCTGCACGGATTCGAAAGGCTCGTTCGGCTTTTACCAACTTACGTCACCTATGACGATGGCGAAATATCTGTCTATAAATTAAGGGACGAGTATACTGTGCGGTAGTTCGTTCTGTTCTACTTTACGGCTGCAAAACGTGGCTATTAAGAGTAGAAGATACTCGTAAGCTACTATTTTTGATGACACATGTCTTAGAAATATTGCTTGCATCTTCTGGGACCACCAGGTAAGTAATAGTGAGGTTAGACCCAGGGTATTAGGGAATGATGGTAAATCAGTTGATGAGGTTGTGAATCTTCACCGACTGAGATGGTTGGGTCACGTGTTTCTTATGCCTGAACACTGATTACCGCGGCGCGCAATGCTGACTAGTGTTGGGGATGTCTGGGAGAAAGTTAGGGGTAGCCAAAACAAAACGCGGCAGCAGTCTATGAAGTCACTAACTTCTAGTCTTAGCCATGTTGGTAGATCCAGACTACTTAATTGGGGTCCGCTTGATTATCGTAACCAATGGTTGGAGACTGTGGGTGACATGGCGCAGAATCGATCACAATGGTGTAGGCGTATACACTCTGTCTTCCCTTAAACTATGAGATTAAAATCGCTTCATATCTTTCTTTCTACCAACTCATTCTTTCTTGCTGTACTATATCCTCATATACAATCCTTCCTTTATATGTTATCACCATTGAATTAACTACTTTATGAGTCCGGTTTTCATCTTGCTGTGCTAATGAGGTATGGCAACCTGAACCGATGCATATATGTGTATGGTTCTACGTTGTAGCTGACCGACTGATTGGAGTAGTAAAATGATTAAGACAGGGCACAAACGTATCATCGCTGTAGACAACTGTTTTATAAACATGAAATTTGTTTTTGAGCTATAATTATTACAGTATATAAATGCGATGATGATAGTTACTAACATATTTCCACTAAAGCAGTTGATTAGTGACCATGATTTAAGAAAAGCTATGTTTAAATTTGAGTTTTCCAACCATGTTTAATACTGCTTTAGATGCAAAGGTTTATTAACTAAATTCCATTTGATGCATCTTAGTTTATGTTTCATCGTTTAGCTTATTATTTTTTAACTGTGAGTGACAATGTAAGAATGTTTACAATGTATTTCTTTTCCTATAGGTATCTATGAATGATTGATAGAGAAAACGTTCAATAAATAGCCAATGCCTCCAGATAAATTACAAAGGAATAAATAGAAGATACTTACGACGAGACGCTTTATGTGAGGATTCTAAGGAATTTGATTTCTGGTGGTTATCTGGAGAGGTGGTATGCTCATTTTCACTAAATTTTTCAGTACGTACAACTGAAGAGTCAAAATCACTATCACTTGAATCCCACGTAGATCTGGCAGTACCTTTGATAACTCTGACGCTATTTGTCTTCCCAGGAGTTAGTTGATTTGACGACGAACTAAGATTGCTAGGACGAGTTTCCGACAAACTATGATCTTTACGATGTGACTGATCATCAACCTTCCGCCTTATTTTACGTTTCACATGTGAATGTTCTTTATTACCATGAGGCAATTCGTCATCAGTACTATTATAAGCGACAAGTGTATTTGAACCAACTTCATTTCGTTTTTGATCAGAGTATGATGCATGTTTTTCGGAATAAGATATACAGACATCTGAGCTCTGTTTAACCGATATAGAGTATCTACTGGAAGGACTTCTATCGCCTGCATTACTTGAAATATGATCTGCAGCATCAAAACTGCTTTTTGACTTTTCACGCTCACGAGAATTAGTAGGAGTATGGTAAGTACTAGTATCACTTTTCTTACATTTTTTGTACGGTGACTTAGCACTTTTTTGACCGCAACAATCATCATCAGGAATACGAGCTGAAAGAGTGCGTCTCGTACTCAACGAAGATTTAGCAATTGCATTGTTTTTGGTACGGCACTCCCTCTGGTTAGATTTACAATCTGTAAAAAACGAAAATCCGGCAATCGAAAGTTGAGAATCATGGGAACTCAATACCTGAAAGAAGCATAGTTATCAATTAATTTTGCTCACCTGTATGTGATGATTCAGATTTACTATCACATGGGTAAGACTCGATCTCGCTTTGATCGTTTGAATTGTTGCGTTCAAAGTGCGCAGTATGGGAGAGTTTATTTGACAAACCAGAACGTTTAACAGCGAACGATAAAGAACTACGTGTTGACTGTGAACCGTAGTCACTTTCCCTGTAAATTTTTGGAATTACGATTGAGATATTAACTCCGTACATATATACTGGAAGGAGTATATGAATAACAGTTATAACAATTTTAAATGGAACTAACAATAACATGGGTAGTTTATAAACTAACCGTACGATCAAGAAGAGTTAGAAAGAAAAGGGATAATTTTGGAAGAAACCTAAATCAGTATTTTGTGCGCTAATTAACTGAATGAATGGGTAGATAGTAGAAATGTATTTAGAAAATCCCAATATCCGTTTTTTCAAGCCTTCGTTTCCTTAAGTACTGAAAAGGCAGAAAAGAGATACTACTAGTTTAAAATTAATTACGTAACATTTCTGTAGTACCTCATCATTGCTCTGTGATTATACTGCCCTTTTATTTCATTTTTGACGCTCTCCCAGAGAGTTTGAGGTATGCTAACACTTTGATAGTCATCTTAATGATTCCAGTGTTGATGTGATGTGGTAACTTTGAACATACACATATATACTAGGTTCTACGTTGTTTATGATTGACTGGTGATGCATTGTCATTTGCACATCCTCCCAGGTTGCCACATGTTAGTATAATGAGTTGAATTATCAAGACGAATTTCAGAATGGTATTAATAGTATCAGTGGCAGTAGAAAACATTAGTGACATAAAATTTAATTTAACAAGAATAATTCCACGTAGTAAAAAATAAAAGATAATTTTGGAAGTTAAGTTCAAAGGAAGACCGATTTTTGGCAGTGCTAACAGATAAGCAAAATAGCAATAAATAAGTAACAATCACATACCTACTACTGAACTCTGTATGTTTTCCATTATTCTCACCTTCAGGAGTCTGTTTTTAGCGAGAAAAAGAAAAAGAAAAACTGCAGAACAATAGGAATAGTCAGCTGAACATTTATTTGAATAGACAACCAGTACTCACTAGAAAAAACTTGTGACTAAATAACGGCCTTGTAAAAGGTGTTTCATTAAAAGGTAGCAGTTAGTTAATCAACTATTTTCATTATTATTAGATATGCAACACCAGATAATATGATGAAAAGACTCTAGTTAAGATTACCAACTGGTATTTGATGGCAATACAATTAGGTTAATTTGAACAAATATTTAAAACAGCATTTCCCAGTCGATAACATTGAAACAAACTAAAGAACATGAGAATAAATAACTACACAAAAAACAAACATTATAACTATGCTGAAACAATTAGATTTTGAACAACCGCAAACAATTATGGTACCAAATTAAACAAGAAGAAGAACATTTACGAAAAGGAAAACTAAAAACTAAACTAAACACACAAACACTCGAACATACACACGCAGACAACAGATATAAGTGCATTCCGAACGAAATCATTTTTAATTATTGCTACATATATCATGATTTAACGAAGGATTGCAATGATAATAAAGATAAAAATATCATGCAATCAAAAGAAATTAACATATTTATGTGTGAATCAACCATGAGATTATGCTAAAGTAAATATTAAGTGAGTGAATGTTGTTAATACAGTAAATCTTTGAAATATATAAAGGAAACATAGAGTAGGAAAGTGGTTTACACAGATAGCTTCAATATTCAATACTATAATTGAGAGAAATAAGCAATAAAATATATTTTTCCTATAGCAACGCACAAATGAGTTTCTTATTTTGTTAAATAGACTGTATTCATTATGAAAAGAAGTGCATCCAAATGCATGAGAACGAAATGAAAAGAGCATCAAACTAGCAGAGTAGTAATAGTAAATGTAGTGATTGCTCCTAACGAGAAGTGGGACAAAATAGAAACGAACCAGAATACAATATGCAAAACGTCAATATAATAATAGTTAAAATAACGGTAAGACTGATTATACAACATACCTAATTTATATTTCCTATACCCATTTGTATATAAATGTGTGTAGATATAAACTTTTAGACAGACAATACATACAGAGAGCGTGTGTTTTATAGTAAAGTACACAATCAGGAACAAGAATGATGAATACACAAATAAGCACGCAAACACGATTTCACGAAAATAAACAGAAAAAAAGAAAAATACACACAGAATACAGGAAAAGGGTTACAGGAGGATGGGAAGTAGCAGATGGAGCAAAAAGTGTGTAGCCAAAATATATCATAAACACAGAAAGAGGGGAAAAGGAAAGATGCAAATTAATTTAACGTTAATCAATGAATCAATAACTTGTCACATAATCGAATTTACGAAAAATTTTGAAAGACAAGAAGACTAAAACACAAATAGTAAATAGATGACTATAAACCTTGTGATAACTTGACAACTATAACCATCGCTATTTTTTACCCCTGAAGCCTATCCAATATGACCGTAAGTTGTGCTAGGGGAATAAACTCAGACATTTAAAATTACACATTTATATTTACCCAACCGAATATACTGTTTAGCATTCAAGCGAAGTCAATCATCACCCTTAAGATAATGACCAAGCTGATGTAAAGACTTATTCCTAAAGCAATATCACAGAAGAGATTCATATGACAAAAAACATTCATGAGATTGTAGATCGATTAGTAAGCACAAAATATGCCCTTAAGTTATGTAAAACAAGATCCCATTTTGAGCTCTGAGTTTTAGTTGTTAAAGGAGTCCATTTCAAGCAAAACTTCAGGGCTTCAGTGTCAGTAAATTTTACTCGGTTGAAAGCCCCCGAATGCCCTGGTACGACCGAGAGTGGGGAGAGTCCGCTCTCCCTCTCGAAATACTCTCACATGGCCACGCGTATACAGCCTCTGCTACGGAAGTCCTACTCATTGCCTTCTCGTGGCGGGGGTGTTGTTTACGAAAATGAGGACGAAAAGCGAATGTCCGGCGCTTTAACCGGATCACAAATCAATGGTGCACATGGGATCCAGTATCCTGCGGGAACAAATGGCGTATGAACCAATCGTTGGTCACCGGCTACCATGGGATTGCATCTCCTTACGATGCTCCACTGCCTTGTGGGTTAGACCTTTGGGTCCAAGGCTCGGGGTGTGGCCAGCTAAGATAACCACCTGCTTCGGTTTGGGCACCCGGGCAGTATCACAGCCCACACACAAATTGATGAACTCTCTATGCCTATGGAAATTACTTTTCTCGCTTCGAAAAACAAGCAATTGATTCAAATTATTATCATTATTAATACTATTATTATTATTACTATTATTGTCATTATTATTATTATTTTCCACATTATTCACCCTCTTTTATACTTATACAGCGGCTCGTCTTTGGTGGAAATTCGACTCTATCTAAACGTTCTCGAGTCACTGTCCGGTTGGAAATTGTATGCTACCACCGAATACGAGGACTGAAGCAGTTTTTCTGAAACCACGTGCACCAATCAAACTGGTTGCCTTCAACGTTCGCACATTTATGCAAGTCGGACAACAGATAGGGCTGGCTATGTCTTTGGAAAGTCTTAATATCGACGTGTGTTGTCTATCCGAGACCCGTATTCAAGACTCTGGCGAAGTACTACAAATTCGATCTCCATCTGTCACTTCAAAAAGCTTGTTTTACGTGCGCTTATCCGGGGACCCTGTGGCATCTTCGTCTAGTCTTGCTGGCGTTGGTGTCGCACTAAGCGCTAGAGCTGAGGCAGCACTAGTCGATTGGATCCCCATTAACAGTCGGTTATGTGCTGTTAGATTAGAAAGTTCCATCAAAGTGAGAAGAAATCGGCGTGAGAAACGATGTCTTTTCGTCATCTCCGCCTATGCCCCGACAGATTGCAGCCCGGATGCAATCAAGGATGAATTTTACCACCAGTTATTTGTTTTTCTCCAGAAAGAGCATTCCACAGATATTGTAGTACTAGCCGGAGACTTGAATGCTCAGGTCGGGCGTCTAGGCACAGAAGAGAGTCGTTTAGGTGGCCGATGGGGACTCGTTGGTCGCAGGTCAGATAACGGGGACCGTCTACTGCAACTTCGCACAGACCACAACCTGTTTCTGGCTAGCACTAACTTTCGGCACAGTCATCGCCGATGTGCCACCTGGCGTCCTCCCTCTGCATCTCAAGCCTGGACTCAGATTGATCACATCGCGATCACCTATCGCTGGCGTGGTAGTGTACAAGACTGCCGCTCCTTTTGGAGTACCTATCTGGACTCTGACCATGCCTTGGTCTGCGCCAATTTGCCTTACTTTTCAGTGGACAACGAAGTGACCACCATCAACGGATTGATATTAGCAAGCTGGTTGCAACTTCTGTTGCTAGTAAGTATCGAACCGAGCTAGCCTCTAGGCTAGCTACCACTCCACCGAAAACTATAGATGAGCATTGGTTGCAATTGCATGACGCCATGAAAATGGAGGGTACAGTCAGTTGTGGGTTCGCGAAACGTCTCGATTATAAGCACTGGGTTTCTGCAGGTTCCTTACAACTCATTGAAGCCCGTCGGTCTACTCCGGGTAACCGTGAGTTTGACCACAAACGAAGGATGTTACGTAAGGAAATTGGGCAAAGCTTGCGTAAGGACCGAGAAGTCTGGTGGTCGAAGCGTGCTAATGAGCTAGAAGCAGCAGCTGCATCTGGTAACTACCAGAAGCTCTTCCAACTCATCCGAGCCACTGGCAGCAAGAAGTTTGGTGTGAGTGAAACAATCTGCGAGGATGATGGGATGCCAATCACTAACATCCATCGACGTCTTGGACGATGGGCAGAATTTTTCGAAGGGCAGTTCAACTGGCCTGCTGCTCCGGCAACATCGGTCAGACTGTCCTGTCCTCCATGGCCGGTGACGACTGATCCACCAAATGAAGCGGAAGTCCGCAAGGAACTCCAACTCTTGAAGCGTTACAAATCACCTGGCCCAGATGACTTACCTTCGGCTCTTTTTAAAGATGGTGGTGACTTTTTGACTAAGGAATTGACGACGTTGTTTACAAAGATTTGGGAACTAGAGAGTGTACCAACGTCATGGAATGAGTCGATAGTTGTCCCTATCTTTAAAAAGGGTTCACGTCGTTCTTGTAACAACTATCGGGGGATAAGTTTACTTCCGATTGCGTCCAAGCTATTGGCTTCCGTCATTCTTCGTAGGTTGTTCAAAACCCGAGAAAGATTGACTCGCGAGGAGCAGGCTGGGTTTCGTTCTGGTCGAGGATGTATTGATCATATCTTCACCCTCCGCCAAATGTTAGAACACCGCCATACTTTTCAAAGGCCAACAATCGTAGTGTTCCTTGACATCAGGGCTGCCTTCGATTCGTTGGACAGGACTGTTCTCTGGGATTGTCTATTGAAGAAGGGTGTGCCTGAGAAGTTTATTAACATCCTAAAAGCCCTATATAAAAATACCTCAGGCAGAGTGAGGGCACACAACCACCTCTCTCCATTGTTCCATTCGAGCAGTGGGGTTAGGCAGGGTTGCCTAATCTCACCATTCCTCTTCAAATTTGCCATCGATGACATTCTGGAAACAGCTCTGATGGATGTAAGTAACGGTGGTGTGGATCTGTTGCCTGGAGAAAGACTTCTCGACCTTGAGTATGCGGATGATATTGTCTTACTGTGCGATAATGCCCAAGGCATGCAATCCGCACTTAATCAGTTGGCAATCAGTGTCCGTAGGTATGGTATGTGCTTTGCACCTTCGAAATGCAAAGTACTTCTACAAGACTGGCAGGATTCTAATCCTGTACTCACCCTGGACGGTGAGCAGATAGACGTAGTTGAGAAGTTTGTGTATCTGGGCAGCTGCATAAGTGCTGGTGGGGGTGTGAGTGATGAGATCAATGCACGAATAGTGAAAGCCAGAGCGGCTTATGCCAATCTGGGCCACCTTTGGCGCCTTCGTGATGTTAGTCTGGCTGTAAAAGGTCGGATCTACAGCGCGTCGGTGAGAGCAGTTTTGCTCTATGCTTGTGAAACCTGGCCTCTCCGAGTTGAGGACGTTAGACGACTCTCTGTGTTCGATCATCGTTGTCTCCGAAGGATTGCAGACATTCAGTGGCAACCCTTGTCAGTAGCGCAGAGGTTCGGCATCGTGTGTTCGGGCACAGAGATGATAATTCAATTGGTGTCACCATCTTGAAACACCGACTTCGGTGGCTTGGACATGTTCTACGAATGTCGTCCCAGAGAATTCCACGTCGTGCATTATTTGCCGACTCTGGGACTGGTTGGAAGAAGCGGAGAGGTGGTCAGTGCATGACATGGTGTCGTGGCATGAAAGAAAGCTGCAAAGGACTGGCTTGTGTTGGTCCTTCACGACTCCCTGGTTGGGGTCCGAGAGATGGTGCGACACAGTGGCTAGAGACGTTATCAGATATGGCTCAGAATAGAAGCCAGTGGGGATCCTGCTGTAACCTTCTTTTACTTTCTTCATAAAAAGTGGCTGTGTCTCCCTTACCTGAAAGATTTCTTCTGATTGTACCTTTCCGTCCCCACATTTCTACCATACTACCTTACACCAATCTCTTCGTTTTTGTTCTCTTTTTTTGCGCTCCTTAGCTTTTTTTCTCTAGTTCTCTTCGAATTCTCATTGTTTTGTGTGGCGCATATATATTGGCGCTCTCTTGTACCAATATTTATGTGTTCAAATAAATAAATAAATAAATAAATAATAAATAAACTGGGTTGAAACTAGACAACTTATGGGATACGTATGACCAAAGGTATTATTATTGTAGTGGCCTTTAAACATAGATGAATTTCTTAAAGTTGTTTCACTGACCGAGTACAATTGCATGACATTCGAGCAAATGTTAGTGTCAGTGAATTACGTTACACGGAAGGCTAATAGAAGTAAATTCGCAACTCTATGCGCATACACCTATAATCTAGTGAATAAGTATTGTCTTGAAAAACTCCACTCTAAATTTAGATTTCTTTAATATACCAATAGTTTCATCGTTAAATCGGAATACACAAATCATTGATGTTTCCTCTAATTGTCATATATTTTACTTCAACTAAACATAAGTAGACAAAACTGTTCATAATGAACGAGGTATCGTTCACTGTTTAATGTTATTATCTCAGGTACTTGAAGGATGTATCAGAATAGTGGCAAAATAAATATTTACTCGCTATTACATATTGTATTAAACAATTCTACATTTAAAGATTGAAATATCATTGACGCTAAGTTATTCCTTTTTTATTTATTAATGAATGATTAGAACGATTAATCTTACTCGGCAGTGTGTATTCTCCTTTTTACATCTCGTTACTTCTGACTGTCGATAATAAAAAATAAAGAATTACGCTGGAGTAAATTATTGAAAAGATATCAGTATCTAGACAAAAAATGTAACATCGTAACGACATACCAATCAAACATTCAGGTGCTGGTGGTTTACTGTAGCAAACGCTGGGATAAAAAAGGGTCACATATATACAATTTCGACGATACACAATAAGGAAATGATCATTTTAATATGGGCAAATGAATATTAACTACAATGCTAAATAGAATGTGGAGATTATGTGCAATAAAGTAGTTTTAGAGGAATAACAATGTTAGATACCGTTTCACATATGCTATTTCAGGTCTGCAACCCAATTGAACCTAAATTGAAGAGCTTTTATACGATGTTATGTAGACAGGTTAGTAAGAGAACACACTAATTACGAAGGTTATTATTACCCACCAACACCTAATTCACAAAACTTGATGAACTTTATAAATTAAATGTCGAACGGCTAAAATTTAATTAAAGTGTAGAAAGACAAACACACCCTCTTACAAAAGTGCATCTTTATTAATCTGCTTCTCTTAAGGTAAGGTAGTGAGACAAAGTACATTCATGAGTTAATCCAAATCCATCCACACTAGAGCTATTCGTGGAAATCAATATCCGCTTTTAGCACAATTATAGATATTTGTTTCACAAGTTTTCACTAATGAGAATATATAGAATGAATAACTATAATTTTTGCTAGAGTAGTCACTATGAGACCTATGATAATCTCTCGCATAAAGTAATGGTCTCGTTAATAAATTTTAATGTCCAGAATGTGCTTAGTTATTTAGGAAATATATTTTATTTAGTACACAGAATGAACGCGGAAATGTAATTCCAAATATAGTGAGAATAACTGTCCGGAAGTATATATGATTTATGAACTAGGAATATTAGTGATACTTGGTAACATCCTAAAAGAAACTGATGATAAATTAAACAACCCAATGAACTCAACAATAGCAGGGTTCTTTACTGAATATACGCAACAATAAAAGTACATTTTTTCAAGTCTGAATTTGACATTATTACGCGCAAACTACCAAAAAATAAACACCACCTAAACTAAGTAACCTCAGCCTGGCAACTGTGAAGATACTATACTTAGAAAGTTAAAACTTAACAAAAAAAAGTTGTAAGTACTGCAATAATAGGTTGTATGTAATAGCTAGGAATAAGATTTGAACAAGAAAGGATAAAAAGACTATCCGACTGTACGTACCTGCGAACTTGGTGTAGAATATTTATCTGAAAAAGAAAAACGTATTCGGAAATTAAGTACTTGTTTCTTGAAGCGAAAAATAGGTTCGTAGTAAATACTTTGGTTATCATTATACATTCGCTTTTACCAGATTGAGAAAACTGGTGAAATTTTGATGTAGATTTCAGGCCTTTCGGTTATGTTTGAATAAAAATACGGTTGAACTGATTACGTTGATAAATCATCTAATTGAGTTACGTGATGGAAGATGCTTAAATTTAAATAGGACCTTAAACTAATTGACAGAATTAAAAAAATTTCAAGCTTAAGGAGGATTTCACAGCTCGACGATTAATCCAGAAACCCGAAGAGCGAACAACTACGTTTAATTTTGATTGTTTTGAGAAATTATAATTTGCTGATTTTACGATACTGTAATTTATGAACCCAATATATTCTCGACTTTACATTTTCAAAAATATTCTACAACAATAACAACGTGGTTTACAAAACTATATACTGTAAATTTAAGAGTTGCGTAGTTCTGACTATTATTCTTGTTTTTGGAAGCGACTAATGTTAAATCAAAATTATGAAAGCTGTATACTCGGGGTTGGACCAAAACTATATATTATTTGCACAAAAGCATAATAGGAATAAAAATAAAACTTAATAACCACTCAATTTTGGCAAATCATCCATCTACCAAAAAATGGATACTGTGAATAGAAAAGTTTTCTCACGTTCAGTTACAACATGGATAATTCAGATTTTACTGTTGTTCTGGTACAACATGCAATTTAATTGACACTACAAAGTTTTATTCGGATCCCAATTTCATTGATGAGTTCGTATATGTGATAATTATTTTGAGATCCCTTAATACACATTATGAGGTATATGAGTGGGATCATCAGGAAATTAGGACGAATTGAACTTGGAAAAATCAAATACGATGCTTTACATCCCAAATTTTCTATAACCAGTACTAAGTCGATGAAGTGAAAGTTCACTTTAAAACATTGGCAGTCAATAGTAATACATACGAATCAAAGAATAACAAATGATTTTTATTACACTAGTTATTAGGACGTTTCCAAAACTCTTTGGGAACTGTTAGATCAGAAATACGACCAGATACAATTCTTCCTACCAGTAAAAACTATTTTTACCCTGTTGGGTTAAATAAGTATTGTAATTGACGAGTAAAAACTATTACTTTAGTCAAATCCTTCATTACAGCGTCTTGACTGGATCACAGTCTTACCATTTTTAAAATGTTTATTGATAAATTAGCTAATTTCTTGAAATTAATCAAATGGTTAGATTGTTCAACTCTTAGTCAATGAGTCTCAAGTTTCAACTATACTATCTACTTTGGTTTGGTACCAAGGGAGTATCACTAACCTCCATACACAGAATGTAACTCAAAGTCAAGTACACGAATCAGTACCTGGTAAATGAGTTAACAATAATGACAAGTTCATATATAACGTTCTTAGCTTTATTCTTAACACTTTTTTTCAAAAATCACGACAATAAAAGCAAAGAACGCCCTAAGACAAATGAATGACTTGATTTTACGTTAATTTCAATTATGATGGAATCAAAAAGATCCGGGTCACTTATCTGTGAATGATATTTCATAAAACTCAAGTTCCAGAATATATGATAAATTAATCCAAACTCTTGATGAAATAAAAAATCTTACAACCAGACGTTTCAATTCCAAAGTTGATTACCTTAAAACATGAGTTCACATGAAAAACTGACAGAATTCCAAGTAAATTACCTACTTTATCTATAAGTATGGAAAGATGGACAGTATGTCACTAAATCCACGTTCAGGAAGCATCTCAATCAGAGTGTCCACGCTTCGAGTTACATACTTTTGAAGGATACTAAGTTGAAAACTACGAAACAACTTTTGAGAAGTGAAATAACATTTAACGAATTAAATAAAGAACTATAGTATCAAATACACAAAAACCTACAGATACGAAATCATCGAAGGATTTCACATTTTTTTCATGCTACGGCAGTTATAAAACTTACAGTGAAAAGTGAGACAAAGTCGAACACTTCACTATTTGTTCTGCTATTTACCTAGACGTCTGAGAGAAACTAAAGCTTAATGTAAACGCCAACAGGAATTCTAAACAAACATGTACAACCATACTTTTTCTACATCCAAGAGACAAGACTTGACTCATATATTATTATGGAAAAATTAATGAGTATATTAAATGTATGGTATGATGAGGGAGAGAAATTAATAACATGGGTATATAATAAGTAAAATATGTTAAAATCAAGTTTCACTCAACAAAAAGTACTTCGAAGTGTATGTAACTATAGAGTACTGATCAAAAAATAAAGGATCTTGATGGCAAAAAAAAGACCGCAAACTATTTTTGTAAGCAGTTAAACGAAAACAAAATGGACACTGATAAAACATTAAATTAACTTGAACAGCTAATAAGAAGGCAAGTTTATAGTGCAAACAAGAAAGTGCACAAGGATATTATTTGAATAAAATAACACACCATCACTTGTAATGTTAGACAAGTGTAAATAATTACTAAGATATCATGCATATACACATACTGAGCGGTAGATAGCAGGTTTTACTTTGACAACAAGATTATACATTTTCAGTAGGTAGGTGGAAGTAAATATTTAGATCGTTCACCCTAACAAATTGACGCAATTAAAAATAGAAATAAAGAACAGACTTCTCTTTACTAATAGTCAGTGAATTCAGTAAACCAAAGACCTTGAGAAGAGGTATCAATCCCTACTTTCGTCTACAAAATGTTTCATTAGTCCTATGTTATTATGTATCCTCAAAGCTGAACCTCTTTTCTACCGTTCTGTATACGTAAATACCATTATGAAAACAAATCTAAATACAAAACAAATATCCCTACACGTTTAATTTAAATGTGTGTTATGTCCGCAACAAGATGTTTTTCACTGGATCGATAAGGCATACGTGTTGCACATAAAATTCAGGCGAAAAAGTCTACAAAAAGCCGACAAACACTAGTAAAATGCAACAAAAAAGCTAGGTATGCGCCACTTTAAAAACAGATGGACCTAAAACATAGAATGTAAAGATATGTAACACTGGCAAAACAACATCAAACTGTATACAGAGCACAACGAAATCAGAACAGAAATAATTGATTCCAATCAACATGCGATTGAACATTATAATGTGAACATTTACCCGCTGAAAATTATCTAAGGCCAAGAAATAGAAAGCAAAACGTTGATTGAGTAACTACAGTACAGATTTCAGTTTATAATACATGCAAACAGATAGTGTAGATTACTCAGTAAAGTAATAGTTGAATGCATAAACATCATTTAAAGCTTTTATCGTATTACTTATATCTAATATGGTTCAAAGTACAAACCCTGCCTTGATATCAATTCAAAACTAGCCACCTACCACTCGCAGAAACAAACCACGAGTTAACAGCGCTTCATGACACAATTAGTACGACAAGAAAATGAATTGAGAGGGCAAATCAGAGAAGTAAAACAAGATCTCTCACCACAGTAGTCATGCATACTACTTCTATCAGTTTACAAGTAGTCGCATGAAATAAATAATTTACTTCAGCTACTGTGTCATACGTATTAAGAAATTAAGGTTACCTTCCAAAAATGTTTATTACTCGGTAGAGGGAAATTACCTTACGCAAATGATAGCGAAAGAAGTCCATAAAGAGTTGATACAACGGTATGTTTCTAAAACACGATAACTGAAACGTGTTATGTTGGTTGGTTGAGTTGTATTATGACTAAACTGAAACACTAGGACAGGATCCAATAAATATAAACATTAATTTATTGTGACAAGCACTGATTTGTTACTATTTTAGCCAGTTACAAAACACCTAACAATTATTTCCAGGTAAAAGATCTTAAAAAAAGGTCAGTCCGTAACAGAGCAGTGATGCTAAATTAAGATACTATACTAGAGAATATATAATTTTGCGTGCTACATTGCATCAATAATGAAAACTATAAACATTTGAAGTATCAAACAAGTTTAACTGGATACAATCGACATTTAGCCTATACTTTGGATAAGAAGTAAGGATTAAGAGTAATGAGAATACACCGCCCACTTTGCTACACTAACGTAAATATTACATAAGCAAATGACTGATGACAAAATAGTACATAAAGCGAAACAGTTTTGCGAAAAACCCACGTAGTTCGATAAGCACTCCACAAAAACGCACACCTTGAAATTAAAAAATCATTTTCATCGAAACAATAAAATCTAAATCAAAGGTGCATTAAAAAGTTTGTAATAAAATGTTACAATAGCTGGTTTTAGAACCTGAAAATTTCCAGAAAATTAGGTGTATATAGATGGGTGGTAAAGGTGTAAGAACTTTAAAATTGTTGGATTGACCTCGTATTCCTAAAACATCTGATATGACACAAATCGGTGTATAACCCTAGACATATATTTGCCATAGCCTATTTCAATCGAACAAATAAATTTGCCGACACAATTATACTTTAAATTGTTATTTTATCAACATGTTAATATGAAAATGTAATGTACGGATAATATTACATGACACATAGAATTCTGAACGTTACTGCAGGGATTGATGTGGTCATGTGAAATGATGTCTCACCTCGGGTAATTTTATATTATGCTACAGTAATTTGCATGTATAGAAAGTAGTGAAATAATGGAAAAAGAAAATTCGCAGTTACGAACGCAGCTGATTTTAATATTCTTCCCACTAACTAATTTTACAGAAAAAGTTGCGATTTCTAGATGGATTCTGGTTGCCCACTAATCCCTCTTTTTTATTTGATTTTGTCACACAAAATCATGAATAATATTGTGGAAAACACTATCTGACGTTTCAGAGATTAATCCCCTACCAGGAAGTTACGTTAACAGCTTAGAATACGCAGACAGTGCAGTCTCCTGATCACTGTGAATTACAATACATGTCTGAATTGTTTTTTTCTCAGACGTAAGATGTAGCTTTAGGACTGGTCTGTACCATCGATTAAATTGATCACGGGGAGTAAGGCAGTTGAGTGCGACCAGCACTTAACTTATTTCAGCATCATTAGCCCTGGTAAGTTTATTCTAATGAAATATTAGTAAGGATTCAGAAAGCTCTTTTAGCCTTCGTCAACACGTATATCCGCTAACAAGGGGTGAGCATGCTGCTATGAAGTTTGCTTTGTATTACTCTATAGTTGTAGAACATACTACAGAGAAGTATAAGACATGCGTAGGCTGCAGAATTTTTATCATAAGTGAATCTGAAACATTGTTCGGGTATCAGAGAAAGACTAAGTGCTGAAGGATCATTACCCTGAAGTACTCTGGTACGGCCGAGAGTGCGGAAAGGCCGCTCTCCCTCTCGAAATGCTCTCACATGGCCACGCGTATATAGCCTCTTCCAGGGAAGTCCTACTCACTACCTCATGGCGGGGGTGTTGTTCACGAAATTGAGGAGACGAAAAGCGAAACCCCGGCTCTTTAACCGGGTTGGTCGTTATGGAAGGTCCACCTAGGGGATTTGGAGAACCCTGATTCCGAACTAATGGTGTACATGGGATCCAGGATCCTGAGGGAACAAATGGTGTATGAACCAATTATTGGACACCGGCTAACATGGGAATGCATCTTCTGACGTTGCTCCACTGCCTTGAGGATCAGACCTTTAGGTCTAAGGTCCCGGGTGTGGCCCCCTAATGAAACCATTTACTTCGCTCTGGGTACCCGTGTAGTATCGCATCTCTCACATAAACCAAGTGAATTGTGTGGCACATATGTATTCAGGGCCCCTCTATACCAATATTTATGTGCTTAAATAAATAGATAAATAAATAAGCGAGGAATATAGAGATTAGGCATATGTTTACCACAGAAAACTAGGGATTTCGCTGTGAATCTTCAACGACTGAAGTGGCCTAAGATGTGTTAGGTACGCTTACTGCGACGGGTGACATTTTTTGAAGGAGTAAGTTGGAAAAAAGCTAGAGGCGGACAAATCAAGGCATGAAATCAGTCATGAGTCCCTGACATATGGGAAGTGCAAACCACCTGATTGGTGCCTGTGCAGTTATCACACTCAATGACTTAAGACGGTTCATAATAGCGCAGATGCATTCAATCATTATTTTACTCTAGATCTTGAATTCTGGTATTTTCTCATACATGAATATTGTCTTTTTGAACCAAATACAGTCGTTCTTATCCTTACTGTTACTGCATTTTTCAAGTTCAAGCTATTTTGTTATTTTCACTCATAGTGCTGTCGTGGTAATGTAATTAAGGCTAATGTAAAATTGAGCCAGGATGAAAGTTGATTACCACCAACTAATGACTAGTGGAATTTTTCACGCATATAACCGTTGCAAAACAATTACCCACTAAAGTTGTGAGTCAAGCAACAAACTAAGCGTTCCTAAACCTATAAACGATCACTTTTGTCCAAGGTCGAGTGCCAGATGATTCTATAATATTTTACTTTTGAAATGGAATCTGTCTGTATAACAACTTGTTAGTCAATAACTTGCAAGCCAAACGGAAGTGGCGTTCTAAAATTGCAAAACACTAGACAATTGATGTAGCCTTATTGTGAAGGTCCTTGCAGCAACTGAAAGATATGGATCGCTGGTACTGACAAGACATTTTAAGGATCAACGTTAAATCTAACTGAATCCTTGCGAAAAATAATTATTAACCGGCCAAAACATAGCTTTCACTGTTAGTAACGTACTAATGTTTAAGATCTTAATAACTTTTGATAAGATCGTAAATAACATGACACTACAGTATACCCAGATCTTTAAAGTTTTCAAGACTTTAAAGGAACCAAATGCTGGTCAACAGACTTTCTGGTAGTCTTACAAGACCGATGTCGATGAAATCTCGACTTTTACTGGCTGAATATTTAGGCGAAATGTAGATAACTCAACGACAATTAATACACAGAGCGATACAAAGGGGAAAATCTGCATTATTCCCCCCTGACAGACGAAATAGAAAACATTAAGGCGCGTAATTTCTTTTCTGTTCGCCTTTATTGATTACTTGGGATTAGAAAACTGTATGGCTCAAACATGCTATACCATACATGGAGAAGACATGTCACTATTCTAAGGGTCTGCGCAGTGGTAAAATATACTAAGTAACTTACTAGAATTTTGAGAATCATGACTCTCACTACGTCTGGGTTTCTCACAAATCCGACGAGCAGATGACATTATCAAATGGCCCTCCAATAATGGTACTGCTTGCTAAGTGAAAAAGAGGCTAATAAACAACTCATATCGCCGTGTGTATTAAACTACACTGTTTACTTAAGTATTCAGATTTTAGTAGCCAGGTTTCATATCACGGAACGTATCTCTAATGGCATAACGATTATACATTTTCTGTTTGTTTTTATTCACCGAGATGTGCTCATAATACCTCACCCCCCTCTTTCAGTTATCGAGTCATTTCATTCCCAATGTGTGTCCTATCCTCCTCCAATGTCTTTTCCTAATTTCCTCTTCAGATGGAAGTTGGTCTTGTTCTCTCTCACAGAAGGCTGTTGCTGATGGTATATGGACAATGGACATTCAGTATTTTACATAAACAATTGTTTATAAATACTTGCACCTTTTTGATGATGGTTGTGGTAGTTTCTCCACGTTTCAGCTCCGTACAGCAGGACTGTTTCGACGTTCGTATTGAGGATTCTGACTTGATATTGGTTGACAGTTGTTTTGAGTTCCATACGTTCTTCAACTGTAGGAATGCTGTTCTAGTTCTGACATTCCAGTCAACAGCCTGAACAAAGAGAAAGGAGGAGAGTAGGCAGCCTCGTCTGACTCCTGTCCTCACTTGGAATGCGTCTGTCAGCTGTCCTCTATACAAGGCTTTGCAGTGTATTTCGTTGTATGAGTTTTGCATAATGTTGACGATTTTCTCAGATACCCTATAATGTCGAAGAAGTTTCCATAAATCACTCCTATCCATACTGTCAAATGATTTCTCATAATCAATGAAGTTGATGTATAATGGCGAATTCCGTTCAATTGATTGTTCAACAATGATCCGTAGTGTCGCGATTCGGTCTGTGCACGACCGATCCTTACGGAATCCAGCCTGTTGATCTCAAAGTTGGGCGTGTACTGAGTCTTTCATCTGGTTCAGAAACACTTTTTTCAAAACCTTTTCATGTACTGACAGTGATGTGATGTCTCTGTAGTTCTCACATCTACTCAGATCTCCTTTATTTCGCATCATCATATCCTTGACATGCTTCTTTCCAGTCTATCGGCACTTGTTTTTCCTCCCAAATTTTCCTGAATAGAGTGTGAATCATGTTTGTAGTTACTTATATGTCTAACTCTAGTGCTTCAGCTGCTATATTTTCAGGTCCTGTTGCATTCCCACCGTTAATTTATCTGATGGTCATGCTGATTTCTTCGATCGTTGGTGGAGTAGACCTTGTAGTGCTTGGAACCTGTTGTTGTGACATATTCGTTGAGTTTCTCAGTATGCCGAAGGAGGACTCTATTAAACCCTTGTACTGCTATTTATCCACTTTTCTAGTGCTTCTTTGGTTTCAATATCATTTTGGCAACCACTAGGTGGTGATTTAAAACTACGTTAGCTTTCCTCCTCGTTCCCACGTCTTACGTCGACCTTATGAATTTTTTATTGTTGCAAATATGATCCATCTGGTTCTGTGTAGTGTGATCTGGTCAGACCCCCGTAGCTTTTAGTATGCGTTTGTGAAGAATCATTGTACCGTCAATAACCATTTTGTTGAATCCACATGTTTTCATATGCCACCATTCTCGTTCCTTTCTCCCAGTCAGTCCATGTCGTCCCATGATATCTTCATGCCCGGTGTTGTCCACTCCGGATGGTTAGGTTTTTTTCCTGAGTACTTCACCATGATTGATTTCAGCTTATCATAAAACTGATCTTTATTGCCGTCGTTGCTATTATTGGTGGTTGCATAACATTGGATAGCATTCAACGTGATTCCCTTTTTTAAGGATGCTTTGGTGATCGTGGATCCGGGAGATCTCCACCCTATAAGTACGTAACATTCTTCTTTGGACAGCATCAAAGCAACTCCTTGAGTGTGTGATGAATTTTCTTCTTCGCAACTGGAGTACGGTAGCACTTCTTCCGTATCTAGTATTTGCTGTCCAACTTGGATTCAGTGAATTTCATTGATTCCGAGTACTGCCAACTTGTATCTCCTCATTCCCGTAACTGTTTGACTGGTCCTCCCGGTCTCACGCATTGCCCGGACAATCTATGCACCTATAGAAATTGTTGCATTAGTTGTTTGAAAGAGCGCTGGTCCCGTGATTTTCAAAGAATCTCAGGTTTAACCATGAGGAGTCATAACTCGTCCTTCAACTCCTAGGGCAGAGTTTAAATTATTCATTCTGGTTAGTGGTTTTTTAGCATCGTTGTTTTCTACGGGACGAGGTTGCCGACCCCATACACGACCTCCCCCTCTTTTTACCAGGTCTTGGGGCCGGCAGTAACCTTAGACAAGCTACTGGCGAGGTTATTTGGTATATGAAGACATTAACACTTTTTGTAATGACTTCTTCATTATTTTTGGAAATGATTTTCATTTTCCCTCCACAATTGCACTCTGGTGTTTTTCTTCGTTGCATACTCAGAAGGGAGTTCACTTTCATTTCTACAGTCTCCAAAGTGACCCCGAATTCAATGCGGATGTTAATTTTTATCTGAAGCAATTTCCATTCATTTATTGTTGATGTTGGTAGCATAGAGTTAACTCTGGGGACTCACTAGAAGACCATGATACCTAAGTGAATATGACATAGAATCTTTTGTGGCCCACCGATCTACCTCCTAGCTGAAAGAACGAAATGAACATGTCGTAAGTATAAATCTGACATTTTAACTTGGTATATTACGCATAGGCTGACCGAATTTGTGCAACAGTTGTAATAAGCCAAGTACGAGTTTATTGGAGACACTTGCTTATTAAGATTTACATCAAGAACGAGAAGTGAGAAAGCAGGCCATAAAGGTCAAACATGACAACTCCACTTGATGAAACGTGATGCAATATTTGTAGTAATATTTGCATGCAGACAATAATAAACCAAAAGCAATGTGATGAATAGTGTAAGTGCTGCACACAAACATGCATAGAAACGAACAAGGTTTGTTAGCAGATTATTTACAAGGTCAAGATATATCTCAGAATTGACCAATAAATCGGTCTGTTCGGAAGATAGAACAACCCTGTGCGGGCCGGATATGGTACTAGACACTTCAAGCCTTTTTCGGCACAATCAAGGTACTTATCTGTTTATAACATGGGCAAATTCAAATAATAAAAAACAATGCTGCTTCTAGAAAGGCCAAAAAACTCAACAGTTACAAAGGAAAAACGCCGAAATGTCACCATAAGTCTTGCTACATCCAGTGCATTAGTACTTTACAAGCAGACCTAGAATATGTGTATAAACACAACTTGTAGAGCTAAGAGAAAGTGTGGAAACCAACTTGAATAAAGCACAACTACGAAATAGAGGAGACTGTTTGCATAAAGCAGTGATGGAACTCATCCCAAAGTTCCTACTTTGAGTTTCGAAAGGAGTGGATCTCAACTGGTTACTTTGGAAAGTTCTTCATTTATGAGTACCTTCTTGACAAACGAATTAGCTCAGAAGTAAGGTCATGAAAGATTTTGACAGGATCGGAAAAGCTTACATCGGACTATAGACCTGTTAGTCCAACCAAGGTCTTAGATAGCATATTTAAAATAATCATCTAACGAAATGTTATAACTATCATGAATGTTGAGCAACAAGACTTCAGGAAAGGAATTTGTTGCGCGAATAGCCTTTCGCTAGCAGAAGAAAAATGGTCATGGTTCTTAATAGTGGAAACCAGAAATGTTGGCGATGACGACTTCGACGAAACACTAGATTATATGTAGCTTTGTGAATTTATATTGAAAAGGAATATCTACAATTTGAAGAGTCTTTACGAATTTGGAGAAAAGATTTTCTAAAACGCTTAAATTAATCACAAATACTCATCCTCAGAAATAATAGTTAGTAATGTACTACAAAGGTTCCTTCTAGGTTCAACAATTTTTATACTTCATGTGAATGAAATCCTGCATATCGTTAGGTCTTCAGTGGTAATTTACGCTGGTGAAGTCAAAATCTAGCGAAGTCTAAAGGACGATAGAAATACACGTGCAGTTCAGCCTGACTCAGTACTTCTGGTTCAACGGTTTACATCGTGTTCTGTGCGTAACATAGCGGTCGAGTATAAATACAAGCACCTTGGACACACAAAAATATGCAGACAGCATCGAGAAGGCTTCTGTGTCCTTTGTCCAGTTTTGTAATGTTTTAAGAGTAATAGTGAGTTAAGACTTTACGACATTGGTTCACAGCCATACCGCTGAAACGTAATAGGTGGACATTTGCCTCGCTGAATTTAACTATATGCACACGAATGCATACACCCTTAAGGAGATCCAAAATTGAAGACTGAGCCTATGCTTCAGACCACTTTTTAAGTAGCTTGGATTTCTTGGAAACAATACTGGGTTATCTTTCAAGTTCTCGAAGTTTGAACCTAACCATGCACGATTCAGCTTAAGAAGATTGAACACATTACAATATCTCACTGAGAATTGAGAGATAACCTAATTTTGACGTTTATAGTTTTGACTTGAGTTTCCAACTTGGGACATGCTATATTTTCATAAGGTCAGGACGGCCCAAAGGTCATGTCCAAGAAATCACAGAGTATTACTTTATACTGATTAGCCCACCGGACAGTCAACTCTTGGATTCGACTACCCAAATGTGAAGTTCATACCTTTGACTGACTCATTCAAGAAGAGAACTGGTGCCCACTTATCTTACTAAAAAATGATTCGCACAGGCTTGTGCTTGTCTGCCTTTGATGGACGAATATGAACCTGTGCATCTTTTCAGTTCTAATCCAGGATAAACAGTGTCTTTTGTGCATCAAAGTGTGAGATTCGATCTTCACCTTACCACAAACTGCCAGAACTAATTGTGATAATCAGAAAAAATAGAGAACTGATTACATGAGAATTGAGAATAGGCAAATTAAGGTTAGCATCACTTAAAGTATCGTGTTTGAAGGTTAAATCAGCAGCGTAATCACATGCACGGAAAACGCCAATTTATGCAGATACCACGACCTCACATCGTAAGTGGAAATCCAGATTTCTGTCATTCATTTTACGTCTTCAATGCAGGCCCATCATGTGTCTATCTAACTGTTTATTAGATGAAGTCTATGTTCTCTAAAATGTACTACTCGTTTTGGAAAATTTATTGAAGTGCCAG